TAGTGCTCTGCATTTACCCATCCAAAGTGCACACACACAGCAGTGAACACACACACACACCGTGAACACACCTGGAGCAGTGGGCTCAGTGACCTGTTCTCAGCAGAGCTCCTGAGAGAGGAGCTGTAAAAATATATTGAGATGGTTTTTGGTACTTATACCGCAAATATATATTTTTAAGGACATCAAAATCTAAAATAAAACTCCAGAAAGGTGTACAATATGGGACCTTTAATATAACCTGAGCGATCAAATCTATAAAATATGCTGTTGTTGATAATATCTGCTGCTAGAGATTCCCACAGACTGTCTGTAAGTGTCCAGCGTTCCAAACACAGATAAAACTGAAACACAGGAAATCTGTAATCAGAGGCCACTGTGGTTTCACTGCCATCCAGATAAAACGCCTCTGGCCAAAAGCTCTGACAGTCAATGCTCTCCATTCAGTTTGGATGCATCATCCATGTCTTTTCATTTCCACTATTTATGATGGCTATCAGAAAACAGCCGCTTTAAACGGGAGAAGGTCATGTTGTGACCGAAATGTTTGCTGTTTCGCATTTGCTTTTTTGTTGATTTTTTTCACCCTCACGGTGTGCAGGCATTTTTTTGCAACTTTTCACCTATTTGAATTATATATAGATGCTGATGTTCCCCACCTGTCGGGACAGAGTTCTTGTGTTTCACTGGTGTTTTCGGGGTGCCAGGCGTGCTCGACGGCCGCTCCCATGTTGTCTCTGGAAAAACAAGAGCAAAATCAAGCCATTTCCTGTTAATTACATCATCTGTTTTCTTCTGTTGGGAGGTAATGCTCAATAAACGCCACATCGGTAATAACTTAATGCACAGTGCTCTCACAGTGGCCGTATCAGATATTCACAGATAGACACAAATCAATCCTCCCAAAAAACAGTTTCAGTAACCATCGACAGAGATTTACTGAAAACCTGTTTTGAGCAAGTACAGATGCCTTCCTTGTGTCATTTTTGGTAATTTACAGTGAATCAAATCATACGTCATTTGCTGTAATAATTATTGTATTTCTCCTTCAAAAGTTACTTAACATTTTTCAGGTAAACATACATAACTAGCCTGAACTTTAAGTAATAATAAGTATTATATTATTTCTCTGATTTACCACTAAAGACTTCAGTTCAACTCAAATGACATGAATTGAGAACAGATCGAATGCAGAAGCATTTAGTGTGAAGATGAAGGAGAATGTGATGAAAATAATCTACATTAGCCATGCATGTACTGTTTCATAAATAAAGCATTGCTCTGAATGATTTCTCAAAAAAGTGCAATGCATGCATCTGATTAGATTTATTGTCCTCCTTAATACAGAAATGCATTTTAATCCATGTGTCCTCTGCATATGGAATTGTGAAGTTCGGAAACAGCCTGGCGAACTATGAAACAGAGAAGCCGGTTACTAAGCAACGAGCATCTGAGAAGATGATTAGTCGAATTATTTACTTCAAATGAGCTGTGAGTGGTTGGATGGCAGGACTGGGCTCGACGTCTACAGTATTGTTGTAATTTGTGCTCAGCAGCGACTGATCTTCTGGCCAGAACGGGACTGTGTCGCGGTCCTCCAATCTGTGACCAATGTTGTGCTTCAGCTCTGTGGGCGATGAATAATGGCCTAGTTTTGCGTTCTGTAGTTCATCTTTAATTTAGCACCATCTGTATTGGCTCTGTTGTTCCTCCAGCTACTGCACGAGTCATGGGTGTTCAATCAAACGATTAGGAAACAGATTTCATCTTAGCACATGGCAGCAAATTCAAACACAAAGTTTGACTACTGGCATTGAATTCAGTCTTAGTAATCAAACTGATCTGCTCGATTTTACCTAAAACTGAAGTTTAACTTTGAAAAAAAAAAAAAAAAAGCATATTTCATTGTGTTGATCATTCCATTCAGCTCTTATGGACAAGTCGAAACTGATGCTTCTATGGAACTACAACACTGGCTCGACCAATGGTGTGAGTTTGGGGCGGAGCTATCAGTTGTCTTGACCAATGACAGTGTTCAGGAAACCTGTTTGACAACAATTGTTACTTTTTTGCAAAATTCTGTGACGGTAATCGATCTTTCTGCCACTAAAAAAAAATAAATAAAATAAATTTGTAATCGTGACTTTTTATCTAACAATTCTGCCTTTTTCTCGCAATTCTGAGTTAATCTCACAATTCAGATTTTTCCTCTCAGTATTGCAAGTTTTTATCTTGTAATTAAGACTTTTTTCACAATTCTGCATTAATGTCTTGCAATTCTGAGTCTATATATCGCTTTTTTTTTTTTTACCATGGAAAAAAAAAAGATAATTGTGACTTTTTACATCACAATTCATACTTATTTTTTTTCGCAATTGCAAGTTTATATCTCACAATTCTCAGTTTATATCTCACAATTCTGACTTTTTTGCAACTTTTTATTACATCTCACAATTCTGTTTTCTTTTGTTTCCACCATGGAATAAAAAAAAATAATTGTGACTTTTTATCCAACAATTCCGACTTAATTTTTCTTGCGGGTTTATATCTTGCAATTCAGACTTTTTATCGCAATTCTACATTTATATCTTGCAATTCTTCGTTTATATTCACAATTAAGAATTTCTATCTAACAATTATGACTTTTTTTCTCACAATTTTGAGAATAAAGTCAGAATTGTGAGATAGAAACTCAAAACTGTAAGATATAAATGCAGAATTGTGAAGGGAAATTTTATTAGAAATATAGAATTTTATGTTTTTATCCGTCGGAACCAAGCTTCCATACTAATGCAACAGAAATGCATACATTTATATACATTTCTATGTAAACGTATACAGTTTAACATCCTTTTCTACATCCTTCTCATGTAGTCTAGCGATCTCTTTTAGATCTCAGAGGGTTTCCTGAACTCTCCACCTGCAGGTTAGTGAGGTTGATCTGAAACAAGCGGTTTAGTTATTCATTTATTCATATTCATGTGTGTTCCCCAGAAGAAAACACATTTACCAAACCACAGCCAAGAAGAGGAAGGAAACCACACACACACACACACACACACACACACGTGTTACCATGGTGATCACACAACACAACAACCATCTGTTTCATCCACGTGAACTTCAACACAAACTACAAATCAAGCTAAAACCAAGGAGCTTAAAAGACTCTTGCACATTTTAGCTGGTTCTGTGTTTGTGTGAGACTGACTGTGTGTGAATGAGTAACGAACCCAGAGAAGTTAATAACATCCTAATAATCATTAATCAGGCAGGACTGGATCTGGACGGCGTGACGAAACTCTCGGTGGATTCCAGTTTCTCTTACTCACAGACTTTGTAGGATTATTGTAATTGGCTGGTTAGAAGATTGATTTGTTTTCTTGCTTTCACAACTCACGCCTTCCCTCTGTTTCACAGTTTAGCTCGAGTAATAACGAGGAGCAAATGTCGCCTTTACTGCCCACTTTATAGGTGGAGTTGGGCTGTTTTTGAGTGTCAGTGGCTACCATGGAAATGCAAGTGATGTAATAGAAACTATGGGGAAGATGAATGTGTTCATTATTAAATGGCAAGTACCTAAATGTGAATCTTCAAGCCTTTAAATCAGTATAGTAGTAGCTTTTCTTCCACTCAGCTTGAAAATAATAAAATAAAAACAAAACTGGTGTAGGATTTACTTTGCACAGAAATTGCTAAAAAAAAAAAATCACAAAGAATTACAAAGAAACTGCAAGTAACACATTGAATTAAATATTACTGTACATTGCATTGAAATGTAATTTTAATTAAAAATGATTAAAAAATTACATTTTAATGTCAATTAAACTTTTTTGTCCTACCTTATTAGCTTACTATATAAAAATAACGTATTTTTATTTCAAAATACATTCCATTAATACATACTGTATACACTGACTTCTATGGTGAGTATTTTAATATAATTTATTTTGGTATTTTTGGGAGGCATAAAGTCATAACAAAATCATGATATTCATAATATAATTTATATTTGTAAAAAAAAAAAAAATTACTCAAAAATACTTTTAAGCAAAAGATCTTGAAAACAGAGTAAAAATGTGCTGAGACAAATGTAAGCTGCTGAATACGAGCAGCAGAAGTGATGATGCTTCTTTTAGCAACATTAGTATGAACGGTGTGAATTTTGCAGAACGTGGGCATGCAAACTTCATAGACACATTTCAAATGTGAGAAAAGTGCCCAGAGATGTTATAGCAGGTAACGGAGGTGAGAAGAGCGATTTTTGAAAGCGTTTCTTCACTTTTAACAGTGGCATAAAGCATGCGCTGTGGCTGTAAACACGGCATTGTGTGCCAACTGATGGCTCTGATCGGGACAATGCTGATTGTTTGGACACAATGAGAAGTGGAGATATCAGTACCGATCCTCTGATCCGGTCAGACCAGCCTGTACCAGACGTGCTCGACTGGCTGCTGTTCAGTGTGTCTCAGAGTCTTGCTTATGACAACAACATCATCTGCAACCAAAGAGAAAACACTGCGCGACTGTAGGTCTAGTGCAGATGCCCGTGATCACCTTTGATTTGGCCATTGGGCATGCCTTATAACAAGACGAGAGGAAAAGAATAGGAAATATTCTATTATATTCCTATTATATAGGAAATATTCTAAATAGGAAGAAAATAATAATTTAAATTTATTTTTCAGCTTTTTTCTCTTTGCATGTTATTATGTAATAAATAAATAAATACAATTATTTTGAGAAATATTATAATTTATTATATTATTATAAAAAATGTAAAAAATATTATATAAAATATATGTTAATACATTTTAATATAATGTAGTATATACGTAATGGAACTTATGGCCTACAGTCCTCAATGGGGTTTGATTTTTGGCCAAAACTTTGTGCACCTCTAATTTAGTGGCGGCTGGAGGTTCTTACCGTTGCTTATGGTGTTGACGTAGTATCTGCGTCCCTGAGGTGACATGTAGCACTTCCAGTCTCTGGGCAGCGGCTCGTCCAGAGGAGACATCGAGGACAGTTTCTACAACACAAGGGGAATAAATGATGCCAGTACTTTAGAAGAAGCTTCACTGGAAAAAAAAATGTTGAGTGCTAAAACGCACAGTCTGACACACTTTTACAAGCACAGATATAGTGACCTGTAAAAGACTTCGGACAGCTACACTTAAAAATTATTGATGGTTCCTTGAAGAACCTTTAAAGGGGTCATATGATGCGATTTCAAGTTTTCCTTCCATGGAACCACTAAGGGTTCTTTTGTCATGGACTTTTAGTTATCTTGTCATTTTAGTTTCATTTTCATGGACTCTTAGTTTGTATTCTTTAGTTCCTTTTCTCCTTTGTTCTGTTTTCCCACTCTCTAATTAGTTGTCATGGTTATTAATTTGACCTCTCAGGTGTTTGTCATTATTTCCCTCATTTGCTTAGTACTTAAGTTCCTGTGTTTTAAGGTCAGTTTGTCTGTTCTCGTTAATGCATCAGTTGTATTTTTGCTTCCTACGGTGTTGGATTTATTGTTGAGTGTGTCATTAAAGACTTTTTGCTATATCTTCATCTGCTTGGAACTATGCGTGACAGAAGAACGGACCACGAAGGGAAAATGGAAATCGCTTCCATTAATGTTGCCCCATTTAAGGGCAATAAACTATTGAGAGAAGCAACAGTGTTTCTTTTCCAGTATGGCAGAGACCTGGAGGAGTATGTAAAGGAGTTCAAGCTTTTGAATGGGATAGTGTATAATGTTACACAAGCTTTTTATTTCAGATAAATCTTAGTTTGGATCTTTCTATTCATCAAAGAATCCTGAAAAAAATGGATCTGAAGAATCTGAATCTCTGCTGGAGCCGCTGGCAGCGTTTCTCCAGCGTTTAGCTCGTTGAGGTTTTCCCACTCGTAATTTCATCCAGTGGAGAATGCTGGAAATGTGTGGGAAGGATTCGGTGCCAGATGTCAGCGTGCTCTCCATCTCGTGATGCTAAATCAAACATGGTATGTAGAAGCCGAGACCGCTCAGCCAAATCATTCACCCCATCAACACTTTCTGCCCTCCTCACAACACAACAGGAGTTTTTTCTTGTCTTTTCATAATCATATACTCATGTTCCACAGAAGAAAGAAAATCATACGAGTGGCAGAGTAAATGATGACAATGTTGATTTGAGAGTGAACTGTCCCTTTAATAACCTTTTCACTCACTGTGTACATTACACACAGGACAAAATTACTGTACTGGATTTACTTTCAATACAAAAATAAGCTCAGTAATTATAATACACACATTTCCAAAATGTAATTAAATATTTGACTAATTTCAATGTAAAAAAACAAACAAACTGTACTACAGTGTACTACTAAAAAAACTAAAAGTAATAAATAATAATTAAAAAAACTTGACCCTCTAACACTTGCTCTCTCTATTCTTTTCTATTTTAGCTGCTTGTTTTCTTTTTATTTATTATATTTATAACTTGACCTTCTAACACTCTCTACTATGTGCTTGTTTTTCTATTCTATCTACTTGTTGTTTTATTTTAACCTGACCCTCTAACACTAGCATTCTCTTTTTTTTTTTTTATATTGCATCTACTTTTTTAAAAATGTATCATTAAAAAAAGGTTTGATCGCTTATATTGCCCTCATTTGTTTGTCGCTTTGGATAAAAGCGTCTTCTAAATAATTAATAAGTATGATAATAGGAAGTGGATTGTGGAATCGTTCATATTTTTTGAGAAACATCTTTGCCTTTCAAGCAATGATGAGCAGAAGAAGTCTCTTGTGTTTTACGAGACATTCGCTCAGAGCTGGAACGGGACACAGATCACTGAAATCACAACTGAAACGACTGAGGTCAGAGATACGGACCGATCCTGGTTTTCCACTGGTGTTTCATGATGAGAAAAAGATCCGCTGGCATGTACACGGACATTTCGTATGTTCACAAACTGTTTAGATTGACCTCTATTATAAATGAGTATTGCTGCTCGTGGTACGCAGCTGCGTTCAATTAAATTAAATGAAGTGTTTTTTTTTTTTTTCTTCCTGTAAACCAGACGAGTAACTGCTCTCATTCATTTTCTGAGACTCTGAGTTCATATGTCATATGTCACAGACAAATACGATCGCAATGAAGTGGCCTTTAGAAACACTGCTTTGCTAAGTGCCCTAATATATGCAGAACTTAAGTTTATCTAAATATATAATTAAAATATATAATTACTAGTGCTGTCAAACGATTAATCGCATCCAAAATAAAAGTTTGTTTACATAATATATGTATGTGTACTGTGTTTGTTTATTATGTATATATAAATACACAAACATACAGTATCTATTTTTTAAATATTTACATGTATTTATATTTATAAATTTTATTTATATTATGTTTATATATTAAATATATTTATATAACATATTTTTCTTAAATATATACATGCATGTGTGTGTATTTATATATACATAATAAACATAATAA